TAAAAACTGACGGATACTGTGTATTTAGTGTGGAGAATAATTCAGCCATAAAAATTAACGAGGCATAAAATCATTTAAAATTGAAGGTGTTAAACGATTCGAAAAGTAAGAGAAAGGCGACCGTGATAATAGACTTTCAATCCTCGTTTCGTTTAACGAGAACGCTGTTCTGATAGAAGCGTTTTACAGCATCAGATTATTCAAAACTTCAGCGTACTATTTCATACTATTCCAGTGAAAACTGTAAGATAAAATGAATCAGGTAAAAGATTTATCGAAAGTACAATGCCATTTTGATGAACGCCGCTATATTAAGTAGATCGTTGCATATGAAATGACCGATTTAAGAATCTCATTCTTAAATTAGATAGCACATATTAACTTATTGTAAGTACATCAATTTACAGCTCGAATCCAAGTCGGTTAACTCCAGAAAATAAAATGTAGAGAAAATTGATGAAATTATATATGTACATACATCAAATATAAATATTAATATTTTTTATACCGTTGCATTAAAAAATTACATAGCTGAATATTTATAAGCGTTTGAATTACATTATTTCAATGATTTACTTTAGAGTATGGAGTTAATGATGTTGGCTTCTGAAATAAATTATGGTTCGAAACAAATTATTATTCAACGGCCATCAAAATTTTCGTCATTTAATGGTGTTAAGCCTAATTATTAAGGAAGTTTAGTTTTAAATATAAAATGATAAAAATCAATCAACTGCTTTAGTACTAAAATTTTGAAAAATTAAAAAAATGGAGCTAACCATAAAATGGTCGATTTGACAAGTACTTATTAACTTATTGCAAGTATATTAAATTAAAACCCGAAGCTACTCCAAATTTGTCAATTATTTTATTGCTAAAGTTAACCATAGTTTAAAATCAAATTGTACCGATCACTTTTTAGGTGGACAAAATTTTATTTTGTTCAAAAATAAATTGTTAAACTTTTTTTTAAGAAAGACATATATAACCTCGTACGGCATAAATATGTAGATCATACTTGGATTAATAAGTATTATTAAGTCATCCCATAAGTTCGTGTTGAAAGTGAAAAATATTTTAACGAAAATCCAAGAAAATTCTATAGCAACGACATAATGGCCTTACAAAAGAAAAAAGTTGTGGAATGAGAAGGGGCTTACATTTTTTTTTTTTTTTTTTTATCAAATTTAAACATCCGTTAAAAATATCGATCTAAATTATAGAATTGAACACGAACTTACGAGATGATCTAATATTTTTTCAGTAAAACTACACACGTTGAAAGTTTTATTAACACCTCGGTCATTTCATCTGTAACAATCTAATATTACGAATTGTACGTTCGTTTCTGCAACGTGGTCACCATTGTGGCTTCCATATGGAAGCTCGAAGGATGAGAGCGCAGTCTCTTCGTACCGCGATCAAAAGCCATGGTAAACAAGTCACTTTCTGTATGAGAGGATAGTCGATTGCTACTGGGTAAGATTAGTAACCCGATCCAGCGAGATCCGTGTATGCTACGTGATGTAACAATATGAAGGCACGGAACGGGAATCGGTAATTGTATCTGGCCAATAATCGGCCGAACAAATTCATCGAGCCTTGTGCAATCGAGTAATCCTTACGTGTTGCGAAAAACTCGTCGAATGACTCATACTAACGTGTCCAAATTTTCCAGGATAATTGCTCCGATAAACACATTAACGACGATACATTCTTAAGCAGGTCGTCCCATAAATTCGTTCCCAAAACGAACAATATAATGGAAAACCGAAGAAGTTTTATAGTGATGGCATAATGACTCTTCCAAAAAAAAAAGTGAAAAATTGTTAATAGAACGAGAAGGCGATTATGTTTTTTCATAAAATTTACAAATATGTTTCAAATATTCACATGAAATTTGGCAGGAATTTATGGGATGACCTAATCATTGAACTTATATTTCTGTTAATTAAACTCATTGGCGTTTCCGTTTTCAGCGTCCTCTTGTTTTTATATTATGAATTTAATATTTAAAAATAAGTGTTTTATTTTGCAACTATAACTAGGGTTTTTTTATATTATTGAGTGTGGGTCCATAGAAAGTGAGAGTCCAGCATGCGCCTCAGGCACCTCAAACGCTATGTTTTACACACGATTAACCCTTTCGCTACGAAGGACCTACTGTCGGAGCTTGAAAGACTCGAGATCTATCAAGACTCAAGATTCAGGACTTATCAAGACTTTCAAGACTCAAGATTCAAGGCTTACCAAGACTTCCAAGATTTTCAAGACCTATCGGAACTTTAAATACTCGACATTCAAGATGTATCAAGACTTTGAAGATTGTAGAAATTGAATTAGGTTCGAAGTGATTGGAATTTTCACAGTACTGAGAAACTTCGAATCCCTTCAAAATTGAGATTTAAACGCCCATCGCTAGATAGAGGCTACATCCCCATCACAATCGTTGTTCTCCACTCCGCTTTAATAATTACCGACGTCATTTACCCCTAGTTTTGCCCATAGATCGAAACAAGCCTAAGCGAACTTGAACACCTCTAAACTTTAGAGGTAAACTAGAAGACATGAGAAAGTTTAAGGATAACAAACAATCTGACGTTGCATTTTTTCGTCGAAGCATCAACACAGAGTGTCTTGCTGTGTGCGAGCGTCGACAGTGCGTCGACGAAGTATCAATCGATCACTAATCCTTTCGCTTTGGTGCACTTGTGATAAAATGTGCTGACACACAGAGTGCCTACGATGCACGATTGCGTTTTCTGTTCTATAAACTTCATCACGAAGTTTACTACAGTAATTGGTCTTATTTTTTTCAAAATAACTATTTATTTGTACATGTACTCTCTTCGCACCCGAGTGCCCACTTTTCAAGTATATGTACGTTCTTCGAAACGAAAGGGTGAAAAATGGGAACATTGTTGCAAAAGGATCTGATCGCGGAGTGGGGAAGGCGATGGTACCTTCTAAACACTCTGAGAAACGACACAACGCTCATCCCAGATTATCCGTCACGCAAGAAAGTTCGCATTTTTAACAAACATTGCTCCAATTTTCATGAAATCGGTGAAAGGAAATACAGTAAATTCTCTACAAGTGTCAGTCAGTTTGGATTCTACAAGTGTCAGTATAGATGATCCTACGCCTAGGCTGCGTCATTGCTGCGCCTATGTTATCTCGCTCGCTGTCAGTCAAGCGTGTAACGCTACACCACTTGGTTTCTTTTACGAGATTTCACGGCTCGACAATTCATAATAGAAAAATATAATTTCTTTAATTTTATTTTTTTTCATCTGAAATTTTTTTTAACATGTTGGTGAGATTTTTCTGATGAAAATGATATCAAACACGACATAATTTCAACAACATTTACTTATTCACTGTCACGCCAGACAGTGAACGTGTTAATACGTAAATGTTATTCAAATTATGTCGTGTTTGATGTCATTTTCATCAGAAAAATCTCATCAATCTGTTAGGAAAAATTTCGGGATAAAAAAACGTAAAATTAAAAAAGTTGGTATTTAAATCGCTTGGTTGCCTCGACTCACGTTTCATCCTTATCTTTATTGGCTGTCCTTGTCTACGTTCGGCAAACTACAAAGGCGGGCGCGACGCTCGAAAACGTAATCCCTGACTCTAGAAGTGTCAGGTTTAGGTTCCTTTCGGACTGACACTTGTGGAGAATTTACTGTACCCCGTTTGAAGTGTCTAAAAAGAAAATCGACTATCCTCGAAAATGAAAAATCCAATTAGCGATAAGATAACGAGAAACCTGATACATTTTCCTAACTGTTAACCTGCTCTAGAAATTGTTGCACTTCACGTGGATCTGAATCGTGCAACTTTGTGGCCAATCTCGTTCCACGGAAAGAGATACGAAATGTATCACGACGATGAGCAATGACGAAACTGAAAACCAATACCACAATTAAAGATGATATCGAGCCAGCCGGTCTTCCTTTTACTTTCTGTCAAACTCGAGAGACGAGCCACGATCGACAATCGTACCACGGCCTAGATTCACCTCGTAGATATGCAAACGCATGCATAGTCCGCGGTTATTACCGAGCTTGAGGATTTTTCCCCTGGACGCATCCAGACCGTGCAATCGGATATTCAAAGAGCGATTAGTTTACAAGATAAATAATATTCCGAAGGGAACACGACGGCGGACTGTGTAATGTGCACCTTGAAACAGAAATCCCAGCCTCGTGTCTACCTTCGAGCGATACACCAGACGTTTCCAGAATGATTATTCAATTTGCCCTTAAAATGTTCTCCAAGTATCAAAGAAAGATTACAGCCTGGTCACTCAATAATTCTAACTTCGCTGTTTTCTCTTCGTGGCTAGCCACGAGGCCTACGTGGCCACGAGCAGTTTAATGCAGTTTAAGAGAGTTGCTCTGTTTAAAAAAACAAATCGGAAAATTGTTTCTTCAACGATCCAGTAAATTGAAACGGCTAGAATAAGCACCTAAAATATTTTCTCATTCGATTCGTGTTATTGTTAGGAATAGTAAATGGAAGTGTACATTTGAAGTCGTTTTTCTACCAATTACATTTTTCTACTCAAGATTCACTTGAAACTTTGCGTACACCCTTGGAAGAAGAGTCTCTCCTTTGTTACTTTTTCTTTGGTGTTTGAAAAAATTTGAAAAAATCAAATTCTGCTCTATTAAATTATCATATTCATAATTATTAAAAATGTTCAATTTATTCAGTTTGCACTATTAAGGATCGTAACCAATAATAGTACTTCAAGATGAGTGTTATAGTGAGTGAGATATTCATAAATCGAAGTTTCTTCCCATTAATAAAATGTAAATTTTATCTGAAAACGTAGCCTAATTGATCTCAGCAGTAACCGCCATTCAATTATCTCCTAACCAGTTCCGTAAAACAGAAAGACTCTAAAAGTGCGGATTTTTTTGAATCGTTAAACAGAGCAACCCTTTTAAAGCAATTCAATCTCAGATAAAATCTCACAAAACACTTACGGACTCTTCGACGTGAGGCTGAAGCACGATTGGCTGCAACTTGGGCAAATGATAAGGCCTGATGGTCTGCCTCCACGGAGAAGCTATCACTCTATTAGCCACGTGTCTCTTAGGCGACTTCCAAGCGAAACAGCTCTCTCTGCAAGTCAAATCCTCCCCAAAATCCGACTTCTCGTAGACTTTACCACGTCCAGGTAACTGTACAGACACAGTCTTGCTCTGACAGGAGCTTACTCGAGAACGAATCACACTCAGTCGATCTCCGTTGCTTCTCTCTTGCTCGCAACAGCCGTCGTATCCGGAAAAATCCCTCCCTAAGCAATCCTCTTCGTTTCTAACCTGCATACCACTTTGATCACCCTTCATCCTCATCTCTAACGGATCCAATTGCCTGTGAAGATCGTACGAGCCTCTGGAGAAGCAAAACTCCTGTTGGCGGGACTTCAAGGAGGATTCACATGTAGTAAGAAGGTTCTCCGACTGTCCAACGGTAACGTCGCTAATTCTATCGATCCTCGGCACCACAGAGATCTGCTGATACCTTGTGACGTCCGTCTGATCCATCCTCTCCTTATCTATACCATGATCTACACCGTGAACCGTCTTTTCCTGAGCGTGGCTCGCGAAAGGTGGAACGGGCCAGGTTGTAGAGCAATATCTGGCCGTGCTGTATCGCGATCCGGCAAAGTTCATCGATTCAGGAAGCGGTCTGATTTCTCTTGCGGTTTCCAAGGACTCGATCGACGGATAGGGTTCCTCCTTACTCGCGGAATCGCCATCTTGATCACGTCGTGGACGGTACCAGCGGTCGCAGCACGGATACTGATCACACTGCAGGTACTTCGGGCTGATCTTCACGTCCTTGATGTCTTCCTGTTTACAGTCAGGCTGGGAACAAGTCATCACGACGGGAACAGGCGGAAGTCTGATGTGCAGAGCCTCTGCAGCGTGAAGGAACGCGTTCAAACGAGGACGAGGGACAGTGGCGCTTCCAGTGTAGACGAAACCAAGGATTGCAGCTAATTCTGGTGCCTCCACTTCTGCAAGGATCACGGTGATCGGTTCACAATGCGTGGACGTTCTGCTGTGAGCGAGTAATACTTCCTGAAAGCAGAAGAAACAAGGTTGGATCATTCGACGAGGTTCAACGAGGATATTTATGGGTGACGCGAGTGTACGAATGCGAAATTCTATTGACCGACTTCTTACTTAAGGTTGATTTATATTCTACATGTGACTGGAGGGATTTTTTTCGGGTCTGTGGAAAGGTCAGAGATGACCTGGTGTCCTGGTTATTGTTTTAGATGGGAACTGTGTCTGCTTGGTTTGAGTGAAAGGCTTTAAGTAATACTTCAGGATACTGCGATACATTGTGTATATGTGTACAGTGAATTAAGTTCAAATTGTACTGGGTGAGCTACTTCCTTTTTTACTTCTCGGAGACACCAGAAAAGGGATAATATACGACTTTGATACTGTGTTCTGTTTCTTGGAAGGTCTGTTTCACGTAAAAAAGGACCCTGGCGTAGGATCCTTGTATTTCTAACGGAAAAATGAATCAGATCATCGTAGATCATATTGGACAGATGAAATTTCAATTTTGTGTCCTGTGTGTAATTCAGAAACCGTTCATTTATAGATTTAAAAGTTGTTAGTCTGAGGGTTAAAGGCTGACAGTATCAAAATTATCCCTTCACTACACCAGTCTTTCCCTTCTTCTGTAACACTTCAAAAATTACAAATGATTCAAATAGTCTGTAGTATCTTGATCACTCCTGCACAAGTAGTTTCATAAATTACTCAAGAATTATCAAACTTAATCGTTACGTTGATCTCATTAATTTCTTCTATTATCCACGACTAAACTCTGCTTTAGCAATTTCGCTCATTGGCTAAATAGATCATTATCGATATCGGTAACAGTATCTTTGACATTAAACGGGCAACCTCACCTCTCTGATTTCCTTCCAATTAACCGGTATCTCTGGGCATCCTTCGCGGGGTTTCACGTCTCACATGATAGACATGAATATTCACCGCAAACGAGAGCGAAACGAGCATCGGCGAGCTCTTCCAGCACGATTGAAACGTGCAACTATGATCTCCCCGTTAATATAACCAGACAAGAAGGTAAGCGGAATCGCCATGACTGCGCGGCCCTGTCGACGTCTGCGTGCAATGTAAAACACTCGAGCGACGCGAACGTTATCTGCGATCATAAATCTTCAAGTTAGAAGAACGCAGAGAACGATCGTGCATTCCGAATTTAACGGAGAAGAAAACGGTCCCTGCGGATAGGTCTTGTGAATGATAAAATCGAACGTATATCGATATGAATCGTGGAAAGTGTGTCTAATTTGCATCGACACGTTTCGATGGTACATTGCCGTTCACAAGTATCAGGACACCTATTATTTTTGTAGAGAAAGTAGGTACTGTATGATATAAATTACATACCTTCGCCAAAGTTACTATCACATCGTCACCTTATATATATATAAACATCATTCGCTACGAATGACACAGTAGAAAAATGGTAGATCTATGCAATCGGTTAGCAATAACGCGTTCGGATCGCATGGGACATCGAAAATGCGTAATGAGGCGATCTAGAAAGTGTATACCCTGTTTCGTCGTTTTTCCCAACAGGTGAGCAGATACAGATGGATCGACGTGATTACCTCATTACATTCCCCTCTTGAAAATATTTTTCATAACAAGCCGTCGAACTTGAAATGAATTTCAAGGCGTTCTTGAACGCGTTAATATCAATCGTATTTCTGTCAAATATAATCCAATGTACACTGACGTTCACAAGTATCAGGACACCTATTATTTTTGTAGAGAAAGTAGGTACTGTATGATATAAATTACATACCTTCGCCAAAGTTACTATCGCATCGTCACCTTATATACTACAACCGGGCATCTTAACACTCATTGGTGGAACAACCGAGTTCATTACCGAGTGTTAACATTGAACATGGAGTTGATTTTAAACACATGCACTTTTAATACTTTCAAATACTGCTAGAGTTGCCTACTTTTAGTACACCACTGGTTGCAATGAAAATACGACTTCTGATACACTCGTCCAGAAAATGCGAATTTATGAAAATTGGGGAAAGAAGTGCAACGGAGGAAAGGAAAATTTAATTATTGCCTTTTTTTAGAATTTGTGAATGGAGTGTGAATTATCTAGTGGTAGTATTAAAGTGACGATATGTCGGTAAAAGTATACGTGCACCTTATACTACGAGATTCCAAACTGAATAATTTTTTCTTTGAATCTCAAATAATTTTCTAACGACTGTTTAGATTTAGTTCTCGTTCAGTAAGTGTTTTAATACTTTTGTAGTGATGTTCTAAACGTTAGTAATTGTCAGCGTTGGCTCGCAAAATTTAAGAATGGGAATTTTCATCTCAACGGCGAGCCCATTTCTCCAATCAATTTTAATGATCATTACAAAAGAAGCATTGAAATGCTTGTAGACCAATGGTAAAGTGCTGCATTTAATACAGGATACTGTACTGGGTGCCTCATTTCCGCTGTTATTAAAAGTAAGAAAACATGATCAAGTGGAATTTATGTGATTTGAAAACATGCATTTGATGATAACACAAAAAAGACCCCACAAAGTCATCTAGTTGGGGTATTAAAGTGAAAATATATCAATAAAGATATATGAGCTCCTTATACTACGAGATTCTAAACGGAATAATTTTTTTCTGGATCTTCGTAATTGTCTAACGACTGTTTAGATTTATTTCACATTCAATAAGTGTTCTAATATTAGGAACGAGAGTGTAGGTATGTATATACACGATAGTCTTCAGAAGTGGAACTTCCGTTAACAGAAAAAGGGTTATTCTTCGACTGGAATGCTCGAGTAAAACGTTTCAAAAATTTCACACTATTAATAGTTTACTATAATTCAATATTTTAGTGTGGTTTTTGCACCTTCGTTTCGCAAGTTTTGTTAAAGTTCGCAATTTTCCTGTGAACGCGTTAATTAATTTAAGTTGTACTAGAGATTAAAACCAAAGGCTTTATAACGCCAACGATGAAATACGATTGAGGAAACGTTCAAGGCAGTCCAGGTTAACGGTTCACCTTGTATAATGGCGTTACCTACAAATTGCCGACACGTGTTTTCATGAAAATCTAACGCAATTTCTATTGTCGTTGCGTTTACAGAAACAACTATTAGATTAACACGTTCGCTACAAGCGTCATATTTATGTCACGCGCCAATTCTCATAATAGATCGGTACTATCTACGCTACCGGCCAAAAGTTTGGAATCACCGAGCATTGCAATTTACACAAAAATTTTCAGAAAAAAGTCAGCGACTTTGAGAATTTTTTATCATTCGAATCAATTGATATGAGATAAATTGATAAATGTAGAATTGAGATAAACATCAAATCTATAAAAAATTAGCAGCAGATTTAATATTGATGAAAAGTGGGAGGTGATTCCAAACTTTTGGCCGGTAGTGTATATATAATACATCATACAAAACGTACAGTTTGCGTATTTAACACATGTTAGGTGTGCATAAGTGCAGGCATGCGTTGTATTATGTAAAAATGTAGAACCTTTACTGTTACATGTTTGTCAGATAGTTTATAAATGTAATACTTTGCGACAACGACAGTTGACAAAATATGATAAGTAAGTATAATAGTAATTTGACGAAACTAGCAACGCTATGGCAACTCTTGTGCAACTCTAGCAACTTAGACAACTTTTAAACTCTTCTCTATACGACACTGACCATCCCCATAACACCCTTCCTTTTCTAATTAATTCGAACCGTGTTATCCCTTTGCACTCCGTTGTCGCCGCCGTGGCGATATTATAAGTGGAACTAACAGCTCCATTGTCGCTGCTGCGGCGACATTGTAAGATATATTTTTAAGAAAAATTGAACGCCTACAAAGTATGTTCCGCAGAGGCGCACTCGACCATTGTAAATAGTCTCGGAATAGCTGGTAGCCCATAGTAAAAATGATTCAGAGTTTCTGGTAGGCCATATTAAAAATTGCTCGGAGTGCAAAGGGTTATAGGATGGTTGTCTGTAAATGGAAATTCAACCTTTTAGTATATAATATAAACTGAAGAAATGCAATTTGCAGCGATAACAAAGACTTGTTTGAAATTAAACATTCTACTACATAATAAATATAGATACATTTACAATTATAGATTCATGATATTTTTCCCCCCATATCTTTCCTGAACTTTTTCACGAGATGAAACGTATTCGCGTATATGATGTACGATTTTGGCTGTGACTCGCTGTAAACGATTGTATTTTCTGGACCAATTGTACGCCTATACGACCATACCCTTATACGTTAATAAATTGAGGTGAAAACAGGGTAACGACGTTCCTCACCCACCTCACTTTTCTTACTACTCATCCTCGAACCTCGACTTCGTGACCTCATTCCTGATTAACTCCGTCTCACTCTCGAACTCCGCCCTTGGTATACCAAACCCTTATAAATCCTAATCCTCAAGATATGAGCACATGTATTATACGTCCTTCCTCAAAAATTAGAGATCAGTCCTTTTACCGTTACTCACGCCGCTCCGTTAAACTACCGAATAATAGTCCGTTAACGATACTTATTGTACTTTGTCAACGTGTCTCCGTTTCATGGTACCTGTACCGTTGTCACTTATTAAACGATTAGTACACGGAAGACAACGGTATATTAGTAATTTTATAAAGACATAATGTTATATCGTTATTTTTATAGCTGGAATTAATAAGGGTTATGAAGATATTACTTTAATCTACCATGTCACCGAAAGAAAAACCGAAAAATACCGGTATTTATTTCGGTTTCGGTATTTACCCATTTCGGTACTATCAAGGACAGAAGGTCAAGGACAGAAATACATTTCGATGAAGTTTTCAACATGTGTATAATTGACATAGATCTACAGAACCTTTAGATCTACAGAATCTACAGGACCTTTACAATTTTCTTCGCGATTCCCACAAATTGCAATTTTTTCAAAAGTTTTTCTACACGTTATCTAGTAAATTGATCCTACTAACTTCTCAAAAAAAACTCAAGTCGTTTGG